GAAAACGGAAAACATCGTCCAATCATCTTAAAACTACACAACTATGAAGATAAAAAATTTATTATAAAAAACTGCAAGAAGTTTAAAAATAAAAACATATTTGTATGCGAAGATCTAACTTAACTTAAACTCGAATTGTTAAGTGCAACTAGAGAAAAATTTGGAAAAGATGTTTGGTCCACAAATGGAAAAATTTTAGTGAAAATAGACAATAAAATAATTTTAGTACAAGATATTGAACACCTTAACAGAATGTAAATTTTTTTTCCTTTATTCAGGTAATAAAATTTGATTATTATAAATTTTTCTACAGTTAAATTTTACTTGAAATGAATTAAATTTATTTATTTTAAATGGGAACTCTTCTAATGTTAATTTTCACTTATTATGTATTAAATTTGGGATGTGTGTTTGTACTGTAATATACATATGTATATACGATAAAAATTATCTAAACTTTTTATTTTGAATTAGGTAAACACTTTAGGACCATTGATTTTATAGGGGATATAGAGGGGGATGAGAGATTTTTAACAGAATACTTAACTATAGACCAGTGTGGTACGATTTTAAATGAAAATAGATTACTTAATATATTGCATTTTAACATAAGATCAATCAATAAAAATTTTGAGGAGTTCTTAACATACATAGACTTTTTAAACATAAAAAATATAGATATCATAATTCTATCAGAAACGTGGCGCGTAGATGAAATAGAGAACTTTCAAATACCAAATTTTACTATTTTTTACAACAATTCTTACTTCAACCAAAACGATGGCACTATTATCTATATAAAAGACAATATAAACACAACTGTTAACTTAGTTAAAATTAGTCAAATTATCCTTTTAAGAGTGACGTTCAACATAAATAATATAGGTTACGGAATAACAGCATGCTATAGGCCCCATGGTAGTGATCGTAGACAGTTTATTTTGGATATTGAAAATTATCTATCTTTTTGGAGGAGATATTAATTATAATATATTAGAAACAACAAATCTAGACGTAAATAATTATATAAATACACTAAACCAGAATATGATGTTCTCTTATATAGACATACCAACTAGGAAAGACGGTATTAACTCATCTTTAATTGATCATTTTTTTGTAGGTGTAAAAAACGCCAGTCTCAAAAGGAAAATTAATTTTAAAGGTTACGTACTTGAAAGTGCATTTACGGATCATTACGGTATTTATCTCAAAATAAAATCTCAAGAAAGTCATAACAAAAAAAACAATTTACCTCTCAAACAAGAATTCAAAAAAATCAACTATGAAAGTTTAAATAAAGACCTTGCTACAGAAACTTGGATCAACATTTTACAAGAAAATAATCCAGAATTTGCTTACAATAATTTCTTAAAAAAACTACAGTACTATTTACAAAAAAATACAAACACTACTCAAAATAAAAAGAATAATATAAAACTGAAACCTTGGATATAAATAAAACATAGAGATAAATTAAAAAAAAAATAATAAAAAATTATAGTAAAGTACGGCATAATGAACTTAAAGTTTATAGAAATTATTTAAGTAAATTACTAAATAAAACTAAACAAGATTATTACAAAAATGAATTACCTAATTAATGTAAACAATGATTATAAAAAAACCTGGCAAATAATAAATAAAATTTCAAATATTCATAAAAAAAATAAAATACAGAATTTTAATATTCTAAATAAACAAAATAAAATTGTAACATCAAATAAGAGTATAGCTGATTATTTTAATATATTTTTTAGTAATATTGGTGAAAATATGGTAAAAAAAATAAAGCATATCAAACATAAAAATGAATATGAAAACACAAACATGCCTAGAAATTCGTTGTTTTTAAATCCAATTGATAAAAAAGAAATAATTGGGTTTATATCAAAATTAAAAACAAAATCGGCAAGCGGTTCTGATGGCATCTCCACTAGAACTATAAAAAACATTCACAATTATATTATAGCACCGTTACTTCATATTTTTAATTTAATACTTATAAATGGAAATATACCAACAGCAATGAAAGATTCTATTATAACGCCTGTTTTTAAATCCGGTGATAAATCCAACACTACAAATTATAGGCCAATATCGGTAATTAACAACTTTGCAAAACTTCTAGAGCAATGTATTAAAACTCGACTTATGAACTTTTTATTAAAAACAAATTTACTTAGTAAAGACCAATATGGGTTTCAGAAAAATATAAGTACCCAAGACGCATTAATAGAATTTAATAAAATAGTTACTGAAAATCTAAATAAAAACAAAAAAATCCTAGCAGTTTTTCTGGATCTGGCAAAAGCCTTTGACACTGTTGACCACAATTTACTTATTAATAGATTGAAATCAATTGGTGTTAGGGGCATTGCTTTAGAACTCTTTAAAAATTACTTAGAAAATCGCCAACAAAAAACTAAAATCAATAACATTTTAAGTGAGCCATTGTTAGTTACTAGAGGTGTGCCCCAAGGAACAGTACTCGGGCCAATTTTATTCCTTGTATACATAAACAGTATTTACAGTGTCTGCCCAGATAGGTTTATAATATCATATGCGGACGATACTACAGTAATTTTTGTTGATAACTCATGAAAAAATGTTTTAAAAAAAGCAGAAAAAGGCATGTCTAAAATTAAAGAATGGCTTGATTTTAGCTTACTAAGTCTAAACGTTGAAAAAACAAAATTTATAACATTTTCTATTTCAGTGGCTGATCAACCAGAAATCGATATTATAAAAATACATAAAGAAAATTGTCAAACTCAAAACTGCGATTGTAAAATCATTACAAAAACCACAAAAATTAAATACCTTGGTTTAATAGTTGATCAACATCTAAAATGGTCAGATCACATTCAATATCTAAAAACAAAACTTAGAAAATGTATGTATTCATTCTATCAATTAAGAGATATTCTTAACAATAAAGTTTTAAAAATAGTCTACGATGCCTTAATCCAATCACTTATAAGATACTGTATTTTAATATGGGGTGGGCTATACGATAATCTATTACATGACCTGGAAGTTACACAAAACACATTATTAAAAATTCTATTTAGGAAATCTAAAAGATTTAGTACAGATGAGCTATATTCTGAACTTGATATTTTTTCCATTAGAAACCTGTATGCCTACGAAACATTACTATGGGTATGCCAAAACCAAAATAAATTCTCGAAACCACAACACAATAAAGAAACAAGATTCGTAAAAAATGATTCTTTATTAACACCTAGATTGAATAAGTCTCACCTTCAAAGGTCTCTATTTTTCTATGCCCCAAAACTTTATAATATGCTACCAAAGGAAATAAAAAATTTAAATTCAAAATCGCTGCTAAAAAGTAAATTAAAAATTGTTATTAAGGAAAATTCCGTGATGATTAGAAATGCAATTAAAAACCCAGGTAATTAAATATGAATGGATCACTCTCATCCTCTTTTTGTCTGAGTTAGGGTTAATGGTTCATTTTATTTTTATTTTTGTTTAGGATTAGCTATCAATTGGTTAATTTAGTTTAAGATTAGGCATTTTAATAATTAAGTTATACTTTTTTTATTGAAATTTAAGTATTATGTATAAGTAAGTAATAAATAAACATTAAGTTATACATCTGCAAAACCAGCTAAATAAGCTTAGGCGGATTAAAACTACAAATTGTCAAAAAAATGTATTGTTAAAATAGTAAATAAAAAATGAAAATAAAAATGAAATGACTTTCTCACCTCCGTTAATATGGACATAAATTGTAATAAAATATCATAGATGGCTCTTACGTTGCCAGGTATTTGTTAACCTAAAAAATAGTTATTTTTAGTTTGATTCTTGGTGCGTGACATATTATTTTTAGGTTTTTTGAAACATTTTCGAGAATATCAAGTATTAAGTGTTCTAACGAGGAGCATAATTCTCACTGTTGTTTGTGGTTATCAAAAGGTAACACGGTAGGCCTGAAACCAGTCTAAATTGACAGGATTAGCACCACGTTTTTTATGACAGATTTCGAAAAAATATATTAAAATAAACTTAAATACCCGTTTATAGCAAAATTGCCCGAGCCGTTTTGTCGGAAATCGAAATTTAGGGCAAAAAATTACGAAAATGATTAATTTTGCTTGCAAAGCAAATATTCAACATTTTACCATTAGTTGTTTAATAAATAAGAGTCATAATGACATTATAACAATCATAATCGAGTCCTCCGCGCGTGGAGATTTTATTTTTTTTCCGTCAGGTGGCGCCACAACGAAAGGTCATCTGTCAAACTGTCTACTTTACGCTAAATTACACATTGAGCTTATACGCTGCAGAATAGTTTATTGTCAAATTCTGTACCTTATAATAATAAACGTTAAAATATTGTCTTTGAAAAGTCATGCTGGGACCCATGAAGAAAATCGCGAAAGAGTTTGCTTGTTATGTTTAAAAAAGAAGGCGGATATGCGAAAAATTACTGGAGCTCTTCAGAGTGCGGTTTAGGACATTTTTCCTTTTAATCCAGAAGACAACCGTCTTCCACGGGTCATATGCAGTGGTTGCAAAATACTTATTTATCGAAAAAAAAGGATCCGAATTCGTCTGCTGTTCGGATACCCGATTACTCTACATTTCCTTCTTTACCAAAACATACAAGGAAACAAGATAAAATAAAATGTAAGTGCAAATTATGCGAGTTTATACGAACACCGGGACATCAGAATTTTATACAGAAAAACATCAGTGCCAAAAAAAAATTGACAAGCAATGTGCAAAGTGTAAAAAATCTTTGCAAAAAGGAGTAGCACATTTTTGTTTTAAAATGCACAATTATGCAAATCTAGTCGAGTCAATTCAATCAGAATTGCCTCCAAAAGTACAAGAACATTTAGTAACTGATCTGATTACAAATATAAGCAATATCAATATTCAAGAACCCGGTGCTGAAATGCACTTATCTCGACGCCATGGTAAACCTCTGAGAATCACACTAAATAATAAGTATCGAGATGGCGTCAGATGATGACGATGGCGACGAGTTTGGTAAAACAAAATCGCAACAAATGTGTGCATATAAATGCTGTAAAAAGTGTAGTGTAAAATCAACCACTTGTGTTAAGTGCGGGGCTGTCTATCATAATGGATGTGCCGCGAAATATAGAGTTTCTGCTATTGATTCAACCAGAAATGTCTGCTGCTCCTCAAGTGAGGTTACAAATACCAGTTTAGCATCTCCTTCTAACGCTTCACTGCTATCTCCATTTAATTGGCCAAATGAAAATAGTGCTGAAAAACATAATGAAATGGATGCCCTCAAAAAAGAAAATGTACTTCTTCGTGAGTTGCATAAATCTGTAGTTAGTGAATTACAAACGCAAAAAGAAAACAATAAACTTCTTTATGAGATAATCGAGTTATTAAAGAAGAATACTGGAGCGCCATCTAGAAAACAGCGCCCCGAACTATCGATTACGGTACCGCAATCCCTACAAGCTGAGTCGGTAAATAAAAATGTAATGGCCAGTAGTGCAAATGTCCCACAAAATGCCAACAACATGGAGAATAATCATATGGTAAACAATGTTGTAGCTCCTCTGGCTGAAACTACGTCTTACTCTTCTTTGTTAAAACAAACCTCTAGTAATAAAAACAGTAATAGTGCACCATCTACGAAATCCCAACAGGTAATACGCAGAATTAATGCTATGTATGTGTCTACAAATACTAATATTACGTCGGCGGCCCGTTTAAAACTAAAGACTGTGCAAGGACGTCAGTTTACATGGATATTTCTTTCTAGATTGTCTCCGGATAATACTGAAGAAGATATTATGGAATGTTTGAAGGAGGCAAACCCAAACTGTACCACTTTTGAGTGCATTAAATTAATTCCTAAATACGAAAATGCAAGATTCGTTTCGTTTAAAGCAAAGATACCTTACGAACTCGAAAATACTATCCTGGATCGTGAATTCTGGCCTTCGGGCACACTTGTCAAACGTTTTTATTTTCCAAAAAATGATACAAGTAACAATACAGCTCTAAAATCGACTGAAGCCAATCAAAATACAATTCCAACGCCTTCACAAACTAATGGTAACTCTGTCATAGATGATAAAGCAACCCCTCACAGCGAAAACGACACAAATTTTCCACGTGCGGCAACCGTTGCGACAGGAAGCTAGCCTCCTGCAAAGAATTAGCTAGCAATAGTAAAACTCGTTCACAAAGTGACTCTAGTTGTGATACTAACATTTTTAGTGCAGCGCATATAAACATACGTTCTTTAACCTCATGTTTCAACAGTTTTGTCGACTCAATTTGTGAATTAGATGTGGACTGCTTAGGTGTTTCCGAAACATGGTTAGTTGATGGATTTCCATCTAACTACGTAGCTTTAAATGGTTATAATCTGGAAAGAGTGGATCGCAGCGGGCGCGGCGGCGGGGTTGCAATGTATCTCAAGAACAACCTCAAATACAAACTGATTTCAAACTATTCTAAAATATGCAATGGCATAGAACAACTATGGGTTATTATTCAACTAAAAAGAAAATCCGTGGGTTTTGGGGTAGTGTACCGACCCCCAAGCACACCAATTGCACACCTGAGGGAAGTTGCCGATGCCTTGGAGGAAATCAACATGTCCTGTGATGAATTAATCCTGGTTGGTGACCTCAACATAAATATGTTAGATACCAACAATACCAATTGTAAGACTTTTCTTGATATCTTGGATATGTTCAATTTAATACAAATAGTAGATGAACCCACCAGGGTTACCATCACTAGCGAAACACTTATTGATGTAATTTGTATCAGTAACTCACTAAATCATGAATCTTGTACAACTTTAGATATGAATGGAATAACTGACCACATGTTAGTAAAATGCAACATTTTACTTGACATCAAGAAGCCTAGTAAGTCATTGTTTTACTATAGAGATTACAAACGCATTAATTTTGAAGACTTTGCAGTGGATGCTCATCTGGCTGACTGGAGTCAAGTAGAAATTGCAGATAACATCAATAACAAACTTAACAATCTCAATGTAATTATCACTAGCTTGTTTGATAAGCATGCGCCAAAAAAAAGCAAATTAACTACTTTAAAAAAAGGCAAACCTTATATTACCTATAACATAAAGAAATTAATACAACAAAAAAATAAAGCTCACAAACGGTATCTAAAAAATAAAACTATTGCTCACAAACGCTTTTATTTAGAACTAAAAAAAATTGTAAAGATTGCCATTTCAAATGAAATACAAGCATACACTAAGTTTATTTGTGATAAAAATAAACAAAATGCAAAAGGCCTCTGGAAAAACATCCATAAATTGGGGGCACATCCAGACAAAAATTTGCAAAATAAGGTTCCAGAGTGCTTATCCGACCCAGATATAATAAATACTTTTTTTCTAAATGTATCTAAAGACTTGAATATCTCAGATCAAGCATTGCAGTTTTACAAATCCTCTAAAAAATTTACGTCCGATCCGTTCAGTTTTCATAAAATTTCATGTGCAGACATTGAACGCAATCTCAAAGCAATTAAGTCGAACTCTTGCGGACACGATGAAATAGATATAAATATGCTCCTAACAATCATGCCTTATTGCGTAGAATCTCTCAAACATATATTCAACTATTGTATTAGTCAAGGTGTATTTCCTGATACTTGGAAAACGTCAATAATTTTGCCTCTACCTAAATCTAACAATGTTAAAGAACTAAATCAATTGCGTCCCATTCATATCCTCTGTATTTTGGCCAAACTTTTCGAAAAAATTCTTTCTGCTCAAATAAAAAATTATCTAACAGAAAGACAAATACTACCATCTGTACAGTCAGGTTTTCGTAGTATGCACAGTACTACCACAGCTCTTTTAAAGGTGAATTCGGATATTGCCAGCGCAATGGACAACAATCTTTTGACTTTTCTTGTTTTATTAGATCAAAGTAAAGCCTTTGATGTAGTAAATTTAAAATTACTGTTAGCAAAATTGTCTCACTTGGGCTTCTCCGTCACGGCAACCAATCTTCTAGAATCTTATCTATGCAATCGCACACAACTGGTTAGATGCAATAATGTCCTCTCTGATAAATTGGTTGGTAATCGCGGAGTGCCCCAAGGAAGTGTCCTTGGCCCCCTGCTCTTCTCTATATTTATATTTGACATCTTGAACTGTATAAAACATTCAACAGCACATTTATATGCAGATGATATTCAACTGTACCTAAGCTTTAATAAAAACGATTACGCGAAAAGCTCACAACTTGTAAACGCTGACTTGAGACGCTTATCAGAGTGGTGTACAAGCAATGGACTGTTGCTTAACCCTAGAAAGAGTGTAGCATTACTAATTGGAAATAAATATCTTAGAACATCTATTAATCTAAATGCAGAACCACTAATTCTAAACAATGAAATAATTCAATTTAAACACAAAGCAAAAAACCTAGGTATCTTTTATGATGAAGATTTTAACTTCACTGATCATGTTAATTTCTTATCTCAAACCACTCATTACAAACTTAAAACACTTTACAGATTTAAATACGAGTTTCCAACTGACTTAAAATTTACACTTGTATCTTCATTAATTTTTCCCAGCTTTGACTACGCCTCAAGTGCGTTTTATTATTTTTTGTCAAACCAAAACAAAAATAAACTACAGAAAATTCAAAATTCCTGTATTCGTTTTACTCATAATATTAATCGGCGTGAACATATATCACCTATCCTGGTAACCAATAATATTTTAAATATTGAAAAAAGAATCACTTTGCTTTATTGTCAATTCTTAAGAAATATGCTGCAGTGTAACTGCCCATCTTACTTATTAAATCTTCTTGTCAGAAGATCAGATGTACATAGTATAAATCTTCGTCAGAAAGGCTTTACAATACCACAGCACTTAACTGAAAAATTTAAGGGGTGCTTTAGGTACACTGCCGCATATTTCCTGAATAAATTTTTTAACTACCTCTCTTTGTCCAAACCTACATTTAAAAATGTAATATGTGAAATAATGTTCACAGATCAAAAGAATCAAATCTCATATTAATTATTGTAATTTAGCATTAAGTACTTAGTTTTAGGTAGGTATATCAGCTGTAATAAGGTGGGGTGGAAGATTGAGTTTATACTTGAACCCCTTCCTATTGTGTAGATTTTATACTGTTGTTATTGTATATAATAATTTTACACAATAAAAATATTTGAATTTGAATTTGAATTTGAATATAGAAAAACGAGATAAACAAATTCGTGCAGAAGATGTTTTAAAGATTGGTACAGATTTTGGACTTTCAACAAACACTGTGGTGGGTGTAGCTGCGGCTCTTCGTACTTCTACAAAAAACAGAAAATTGTTTGAGCCATATTTGAAAGAAAAAATGCAGAATCTTAATCATGCTTTGGATAGCTATTTTACTTCCAAGGAGTGTAAAGTAATTTGCACCGAGAAGAAGAATAAGGAGAATATCGCTACGGAAACCTTGGTTTATTGCAGTAACATCGATGGACTTTTGAAACGCATTAAAAATAAAAGAGATGTAAATGAAACCCATTTAAAATTTGGCATTGACGGGGGAGGAGGATTTTTGAAAATCTGTCTCTCAGTGCAAAAAACGAACGCCATTGATGGACCTAAACACAGATTCTCCTATAAGGATTCTAATGCAACAACCAAGTTCAAGGACAGTGGTGTTAAAAAGTTATTTTTACTGGGAATAATTGCTAATACGAAGGAAAATTATGAAAATGTGTTGATGTTATGGTCACTCCTGAATATAAACAAATTTAATGCAACGATAGCCACAGACTTAAAGCTAGCGAATATTCTTACAGGTACTTCTTATTTTAAATAAATACATGTCCACACCGATGACTACAGTCATCGGCGTGGGCATATACGCTTATATTCCACAATTTTTATGCAGGTATCATGTCTCATTCAAGCTGTTTTCCTTGTACGTGGTGCTCAGCGGCGAAACATCAACTGGGGAGTTGCGGAGAGTACAGAAGTTTAGCGATCTGCGCAGCTAAGTATCACGCTTGGAAACAAAGTGGAAGCAATAAGACAAGAGCCAAAGAGTTTGAAAACTGTATGCATTTACCGATTATTGCAAAAAATGATAATACAATGATTATTGATATTATTCCCCCACCTGAGTTACATTTAATGTTAGGAGTCGTAAATACACTATTCAATCATATGCTCAAAGATTTTGAAATAGATGCTCTAAATTGGGCAAAAGAGTGTAATGTAATTCAAGACTTTGTTCACGGATGCCCTGCGTTTGTAGGAAATGCATGTAAATCATTATTAGGAAAAGTCGACCGCTTGCGCAGATTATGTAGTTTGGAGTGCTTAAAATATGTTCAATGCTTTGAAGATTTTCGAAATGTAGTGAATTCCTGTTTTTCCACAAAATTAGAACCGACTTACTTGGAAGACATCGCAAGGTTTGAAAAAAGCTATCGTGATCTGGGAATTTCCATCACTCCCAAGATCCATGCAGTCTTTTTTCATGTAGGATACTTTTGTTTAAAAACAAATCAAGGCCTAGGCTTTTATAGTGAACAAGCTATGGAATCCGTACATGCCGATTTTAAAAAAACGTGGATAAAATATAAGGTATCAAACACGCATCCAGAATATGCAAGTAGGCTCTTGCGAGCAGTGCAAGAGTATAATTCTAGACACTTATGATTATTACATTATAAAAAATAAACTTTTTATTTCCTTTTTTTAATTGCAAATATTAAAATTATGCAAATAGGTTCAGTATGATCCGTAAAATGTTTGTTTATATTTTTGAGATAATATTAACAACTTATTTTCATTGATTATTATAAATAATATTTGTTTAGATTGTAGTAAGTATATCACATATTCTTTCCATAATAATTATTTATAGTTACTTAAACCATATGACATTTAAAGAATGACATATGTATATAGAAAATGTACATTAAAAAATGTTGAAATATTAAAAAGAATACTTAATAAACATTTATATAATCACAGTTTAAATATTAATTCATTTACTAAATACACATTTATATATGAAAAAAAACTGAAGACTTCATCTACAGTTTTGCGTACCCGTCATATCGTGAGAAAAATCATGTCAATAAGTAACTGCCTGAAATTAAGGAACTTTTCCATTTATAAACTGCTTGTAAACTAAAATCATTTATTTTCGTTATTTTTTGCTCTAAATTTTGATTTTGTTGAAACGGCTCGAGCGATTTTACTATAAACGTGGATTTGGGCTAATTTTTATATATTTATTCAAAATTCGTCAAAAAAAACGTGGACTGGTTTCAGGTCCACCGTGAATGTCATAATGACTCTTATTTAGTAAACCTGATTGATTTGCAAGTAAAATTATTCATTTTTATAATTTTTTGCTCTAAATTTCGATTTCCGACGAAACAGCTCGGGCAATTTTGCTATAAACGGGTGTTTGAGCTTATTTAAATATATATTTTCAAAATCTGTCATAAAAAACGTGGTGCTAATCCTGTCAATTTAGACTGGTTTCAGGCCTACCGTGGTAAGCAATTAGATATTAATAAATATTATTACATATTTAAATAATATGAATAGGCAAGAGTTTATATTGTCTGGGACCCATAGATGACCGAAGGTATAGATAGCCGACTCTCGTTAGAAAATCGAAACAAAGTTAATTTAACAGCGGATATCACCGCCCGTGGCGCTGCAAGCAGATCCATTCTATATAGCGACATCTATTGTCCAAGAGCTTTACTAACAGTTTAAACCGCCTGGAATCTACAGTGCGACATCTAGTGTGTGATATCTGTACTAACTTAAATCTGCTTGAATTTTAAAATTGTAAACCGTAAAAATTTTGTTTTAAATACAAATCTGGCTCGAATGAAACTGACTAACAAATATATTTAAATCGGTTAATTTTTATTCAAGACTTTTAGAAATTAATTATTATATTGTGAGACAATGAGTCCTTATAAAAAAAATTTAATATTAAAACCATTGTCTAGAAATTTTAAACAAACATATTTAAATATGTTGTATTTTCAGATGTCCAATAAGATTTGGTAAGCTTTATTATAAAATTCACCCATTTTAAAAGAAAACAAAATTTAATATAATATTACTAAGGCTTGAAGATGTTTGCATTTTATAATGAATTCTATCAAATCCAATAGAAATACTTATTGGTAAGTTTCATACTAATCAAATTTGTATTTTAAACAAACTTTTCACAGTTTACAATTACAATATTTAAGGCAATTTAAAAGTTCTCATATTAATCACTAAATGTAACATTGTAGATTACAGGAGGCGATATACAATAACTGTATTAATTAATAATGAGTTTGAAAAATCCTTGAATTAGGAAAATGTAATAAAACAAACAAATTATGATTTTATATATTTTTTTAATAAAGTATATAAAAATAAAGTTAACAATTATAAAACAAAGCAAATAAGCATTAATATCTAAACTAAAAAAAATTACTAATTTAGTTAACAATCTTTTTTAAATTTTTAATAGCCTCCTTCTTCTTCTTGGACTCATTTTTTACCTATTTATAAGGCATTTTTTTATATATTGTATTGGTTATTTCTAAAGTTAACTAACTTACGTCAGGATCCTTAGGAAACGAGTGTAATACTGCCTCGTTACTTGTATTTCTACAATTAACAACAGCACATTTAAACACCATTGTAAAAAAGTTAAACTAACAAAATCGCACAAAAGGAAAACTTGTTTGTCTAGAACAAAGCTGGAACAAAACCTTCGGTCATCTATGAACACAACAATAATGGGGTCTCTAAAGTTTAAACGAAAAATTGACAAATTGTCAAATTGACAAAGATGCCACCTAAAAAAACGTGCTATTTAAATTCTGCTGCTTCAGCGCTATAGTCGATCCTATCCGCAACTAATTTTAAGGTCTGAAAAGGAAGGGGGAGTGAGCATAGCATGCTGGGACCGGGGTCTTTATAACCAGTAGACAGGTCAATATCCGAAAATTTCAATAAAAACCTCACACCCGTTAATCTCACTGCTGTTAAAAGCTTTTATAACGAAGGTGAGACATGTTTACGTAAGTGAGGTTTTATAGTACCTATTCTGGTATATTTGTATAATAAGGAGTGCGTTAACGTTTTCTGTTAAATTAATCTGAAATTTTCAGTTCCTAACACCTGAAAAATATTCAGCAGTCAACAAAGGCCTGATGGGGTCTTCATTATTATACAGGGATGGTAATGGGCTCTTAGGCCGTTTAATAAACAAAGATGCATGCTAAATGAAACGTACGAATAAGTGAGATAAACGTATAAATAAGAGAGACAAACAACCATTGTTGAACGAATAGGATAACAAAATACTTATTTCCCCTCTGCCATAAGCGTGCAGTACAAGATTTTAAAACGATTAAATCAAAACAATTAAACGTCCGCCAATGTTTTACTTCCCCTCCTCTAACTGCTTTACAATCCCACCAAGATACATACACCTTAAGATAGGATGGTGCGCATGTTGGGCGGGGCTTAAATATGTCACTTTATGAGTTTTTTTAAATCTTTAACGTGCTTTTTAATTATCTGCTGCTAAAATTCTTGTTTTTGCGATGCTGTTGGATGTTAACTTGCTCTATTTTTTGTTTAACTTGTTGTTTTTGATTTCGGTAAGGTTCGAAATACTTTTCAGTGTTCAAATTATTGTTATTGCGTTGTGTTAACCTGTTTTGTTTGTTTATTATTGTTTTTGTGTTGCGTTAACTTGTTTTGTTTGTGTCGTACCATTTGAATTTATTAAAATGCGGTGTGGCATATTTGGATGCAATTCAGACAACCAGTCCAAGAAAAACCCTTTAAATAAAAACATTAAATTTAATCGATTCCCGAAAAACTTTGATTTGTGGAAACAGTGGTTAAATGCCAAAAAAAGAATAGGCAATATTAACGTTAAGACCGCTTCTGTTTCCTATAAACATTTTCTGGACAGTGGCTATAAGGTTAATTTAAAACACCAAGGCTTAAACTACAGCCCTAAATGTTATCAAGGACTAAAAGCATCTATTATCCATATTATAACAATTTCTTCAATATTAAGTTTAATAAAAACGCACTATGTCCAGATATTTCTCTATTTTCTTTAATAATATTACTTTTATTCGTGTATATGCGCGTCATGAACCAAAACTCGTACACGGGAGCATCCAGCCTTGGCGCGGCGCGGTCTGGCCTGCCCCACCACTATTTCGTCACTCCACCACTCCCACGTCTCATAATACATTTGTCTTTATTTATTAAACGGCCTAAGAGCACATTACCATCCCTGTATAAGTACTCTGACGGTTTACCTATATATTCATGGGTTAGCAATCAGTGACAAGGATAACCGATCGATGATTTTGTGGTAGTTAAACTGTGCAGTAAAATAGTATATTAAAGAACAAATTTTCTTAATTCACTAATCCGTTAATATCAAATTTAAGTTTTTACAGATATTTTCTTAGATTTTTTTTTCAAGCTTAGAGTATTCGGGTTACTGATACATATATGCAATAATATACATATCTAATTATTTAGGTAAAATCTAAAAAATTTTTTTTTTCAAAATTGATACCGGGAAAATCCCCAAGTTCATGATAATGAATTAAGAGTTTTCTCTAAACAAAATTGTTAAACAAATATTACTCAACATTCCGCTCGCCACTCCATAATTCGTCGCCTTAATGCAGAACTAGTGTCCAAATCCTCCAGTTTTCGGTTTATAGCGGGATATATATAGTTAATAGTGAACTTTATTACATGCAGAAGTATTGAAGTATGCAGAAGTCCAAACGATGGGCTTCCCCCACTTTTTTATTTCTCTAGAATAATAATAATAATAATAATTAAAACATTTATTGCATTATAAAAAAAAATTACAAATAGCTTTACAATTTACAATAAGTTTGCAATAAATATGCTAATATTCTACACAGTAAATGTTTAAAAAACATTTGTGCGTGCATATATAGACCATAATAAAAAATGTGGAAACAATGAAAAAGACAGAAAACATCAAATTAAAAATTTAACAATACAGTGTTATTTTATTAGCTTAAAGATATCAATAACTATATTAAGACTGGATGTAAACATAGACTAAACTTAAAACTATACTAAAACAGAAACTAAAAATAGAACTAGATCTATAAGTAAAAACTAAAACTAAAAGGAGGATTATCGCAAACAATAAGTCCAGGTACACATTTTAAGTTCCTTAGTTATCCTGAGAATTTTGTTTTTTTATTTTTTTTTAACTGTAAGTAGTGTTACGAGGAGTTTTTTAAATCAATTTGATTAGACACAAACTGACGAGATTTTTGCAATATATAACTTTTGCATATACTTTTAAACGAATTTGGGATAATTATATTTTTCATATTTTCAGGGATGCTGTTATATAATTTCGGACCAAGGTAGGTTAAACATCTCTGACCGATGGTTTTATAAATTTTTGGGACAGGTAAATGTTCTTTTTGCCTTGTATATCTACTATTTGCTAATTGAAGTGACTTTTTTTCAGCATGTGTGTACGTTAAGAGATTTAGATAATACAGTTGCCTACAATCCATCTTACCAGAAATAAGAAATAAATCATCCGTTGGGTAAGTAATTTTTACACCATGTATTATTTTGAAAATTATTTTTTGTAGCATTTCCACATCCTTTAAGTGATTACTGTATAGAGTCTATACTATAGACCTCCCCATCCAAGGATTCCATACCTAAGATGCGACTCTACAAGTGCGTCGTAGACTATGTTTAATTGGATAGGTTTAAGTAATTTAAAATAATGTATAAGACTCCCTAGTTTTTTGTTTATTTCTCTAACTTGCAGATCCCATCTCAGGTGTGGATCTAGTGTTAAACCAAGAAATTTTAGCGATTTGGAAGAGCTAATACAAAACTTCTCGCCGCCTGTAGAAAAGTTAAGGGTGTTTATTTTTGGTACACTATTCAAATATGATCCAAAACACATAAAATTTGTTTTTTCTTCATTCAGTGAAAGTAAATTATAGTCGAACCATTTTTTAATCTTGATAAAGTCTTTTTCTATTATTTTTTGTAAGGATTCCCAGCTATGACTTTTATAAAATATTGTAGTATCATCCGCAAAACTCGTAATAGTGCCCTTAATATCCACCCTAAATAAGTTGTTCATATAAAGTATAAAAAGAAGTGATCCTAAAATAGTTCCTTGTGGTACTCCGTATTTTGGTATCCTTATATCACTAAAGCTTTTACCTATCTTGACCATTTGTTTTCGGTTTTTCAGATAGCCAGTCAAGAGTCTCAAAAGAACTCCCCTAACACCTATGTTATCTAGAACATTAATTAGCTTTTCATCACTTACCGTATCAAACGCTTTGGCAAGGTCGATAAAAATGCCAATTGCAGGTGTACCTTTATCAATAGTATCGTATATTTGTTTAGTTAGTGATATTATAGCACTTTGAGTAGATTTGCCCTTTTGAAACCCAAACTGACTATCTGAAATTATATTATATTTTTTTATATAACTTTCCAAACGATCTTTTAATAGCATTTCAAAAATTTTTGTCACCTTTTTTATATATGGGTATTACAATAGATGTTGTAAATGTAGAGGGGCATATCCCCGCTTGAAAAATCTTATTTATAACTATTGAAAGTGGTTTTGCTGTTGAGTCAGAAATATTTTTTATTGTGTGACTACTTATTTCGTCAATTCCAACGGATTTTTTGTTTTTTAGTCTTTTAATTGTTAGTTTGACTTCTGCATCGTGGGTTGGCATCAAAAACATTGAATTATTTAGTTTAAGGTAATTTTCATTGTAATTTATAGGTGGATTTAACTTTTTAGCTAGGTTACTTCCCATGTTTATATAGTGTTCGTTAAATATGTTACTTATTTTTGCCAAATATTTTGTTACTTCATCTCCATCCATTATTTCTTTAATTTCATTAGATATTTCGTTATTATTTCTTAGACTGTTTATTGTTTTCCATAATTCTTTATTGTTAGGGTTTTTATTTATTTTTTGTTTGTAGAAATTGCTTTTTGTTTTGGCTATCAGACTATTTAACTTGTTTCTGTATGTTGTATATTTTTGTCTAATATTCAGGTCTCCTGTTTCTTTATAATACTTGTATAATTTATCTCTGTAATGTATAGAGTTTATGATACCTTGTGATATCCACCCTTTTCTTTTTTTGTTTTTTGTTTTAATCTTTTAATAAATTGTGTTTTAATTTATATTCAGTTTTAGTATATTTATAAGTTTTTCGGTTGCAGGTTCTACTTCATCGTTTAACACCGTTATCCAGTCCATATTATGTAAATCTCTATTTAAGTCCCTATATATAGTTAATAACTATAACTATATAATAACTATAGTTAATTTGCTTAATATATTTACTGCCTTCACTTTTGTTTAATTGTTTGTTGCTTAATATGATTTGGGCCATGATTGAATAGTGATACGTTATTTAACAATTATCGGCAAGGTATAATCATCTATATGATTTTTTGCTTTAATAAATATGTGATCATTGCATGAAGTTTCATTATTTTGTTCCCTTGTAATTTCATTTATGATTGACTTAAAACCATATTCCCCCATGATGTTTAGGTATTCACTAAGGGATTAAGTATATTTACTCTCTAAAAGGGAAACAGTGAAATTTTCACTATTTTCGTCATTGAGTTATTAATCACTGTAAAATTAGTGTTTTTTAATATAAATTAGTGAAATTTTAACTTTTTTGAACTTAGTTATCATAACTACTAAACCTATTTCACTAATTTGTACAGTGTAATTTCCACTAAATAAATTAGTGCAAAGAAATCGCTACATGAAAAAGTGAGTATTCACTAATTGCTAGTGGTATACTTATCACTGCGGCAAATAGTTAATATGCACTGTCAATCAGTGAAAATCCACTGTTTCATTTTTAGAGAGTATATTTAAGTCGCCCACAAATACAGATATCCCTTTATTTGTTAAATTTGATTCAAAGTAAAAATCTAAATTTATCAAAAATATTGTTAAATCAATCCCGTGTAATCTATATATACCCATTACATTTACTGTTGTATGGTAAAAAATTATTTATAATTTTGCATTCTCCCACTTTATCAATTTTATAAGAAAAATCAAGATCCTCTCTTATAAATGCAATAACCCCATCGTTTTGATTGTAATTGCCTTCGTTATAAATTATGTTATACCCATCTAGTTTTATATAGTCTATATTAGTTTGTCGAGTTTCTGTCAGTACTATACATTCAAATTTAGGTGTAAATTGTTCCAAAAAAATTTCTAACTTCGGTAGATTCTTTCTAATAATTCTAATATTTAAATGTATTACTTTAAAATTTAGTGTTTCGGAATTTATTTTAAAAACTTGATTACATTGGTAAGCGCTATCAAGTATGAAAGTTTGTAATTCGCTGTTTTCAATAAAATCCTCCGGAAATATGTCCATTTGGAGTTTAAAATATACAAGTATTAAATTTAAAACCTCCTTTTAGCTTTCAATTTAAAAATAATAATTTAACAAAAATAATTTAACAATAACTATCTTACTCCTGACTAAAACCTAAAATCTGATCTAAAAATGTAATACAGACACAAAACAAAATTTAAAATATTAATTTAACAATAAGTAGCTTCCCTCCTGACTAAAATCTAAAATATTAACTAAAAATGTAACAAATACCGAAACAAAACAAAATTTAAAATTTAAAGAGACTAATTTCTATAAATCAAAATTTAAATTAATATATACGAGTACATGCAGTAGATGAGACAAAATTTACTATAATAGAAATGTATACATATAATATATTATTTTATTTTGCTTAAGTTTGCTGCTGCAGAACGTGTAGTTTTACGTATCGTTTCAATTTTCTTGTCTGCAGTCTGTTTTATATTCGATGACAGCTTAGGTTTTTAATATGTTGTATACAAGCTATTAACTATTAACTATATATTCCCGCTATAAACCGAAAACTGGAAGATTTGGACATACACTAGTTCTGCATTAAGGCGAATAATGAATAATTATTATTCTTTTATCAAAAATAATCGGTAGGTAATTATCAAAAATCTGTTATATATATATATCATTTATAATCCACTTAATAATAATCTCCACTATAGTTATACATCAACGAATGTTTCGTTGCATGTCCTCAATCTCCTCAAAATTAATATTTTATTTCCAAAAGATATTACGACATGTCTCCAAATAAAATCATGTATCAGTCAAATCTTGGAAACAAAAGCAAGCTTACTTGGATTTATTATTTTTGTATACGAAATTATTTTATTTTGGCAACTACGTATATAGATATATATATATGTATATATATATATGTATATATATATATGTATATATATATATGTATATATATATATATATATATATATATATATATATATATATATATATATATATATATATATATATATATATATATAGAGTGCGGCAGTCAAACCTGCAATTTTGAAAGAAGTGCCTCAGCCAAGAAAGTGGGTGGAGCGAGTTGTCAAGGTTACCGTTGTGCTCCCCGGTTAAAAGCATTTCAGTAGCCATGGAACACAGAGACAAGGATGATGGAACAGTGGTCTAAGCAAGAATGCTCCTTCGCCGTGAAGGCCTTCTTTTTTGAAAATAGCTGTTACCTTAAATTCATGCGGAGCGCTACTCCGAAATGTTACGGACATTCTTTATTCCTCGTCTTCGCGAACATGGACTGAATGATGACGCGTTATTTTAACAAGATGGAGCCACAAGCCACACGGCCCGTGTGAGCATGACTCTCCTCAACGAAGTTTTTCCAAATCGGGTGATATCCCGGAACGGAACCATTTCTTGACCCGCCCGTTTACCCGACCTCACTGAATGTGATTTTTTCCTGTGGGGCTACCTAAAAAGCAAAGTTTTTAAAGAACCCCAGCCTCGCACTATTGAGGAACTGAATGCGAGAATCCGTCAGGAAATCGAAATAATCCCCCAGCAGATGCTGCGTGATGTAATGAACCATTTTAGAGATCGCCTTCAAGAATGCATCGAACGAAATGGAAGACATCTTAATAATGTTATTTTTAAATGAGTAATTTAATAAAGTTTCTTAAATGCTTTTTAACTAAAAATCAATTCCATTATTTATATAATTGTAATTTTCTTTTAGGCAATCTTAAATTATTTGTTTTATAAAAGAAAAGTACAAAATTACGTTTCAAAACACACTAATTATGCATTAAATGCTATATATCACTGATATTTTGTTTTTTATGCCATTTTCAATAAAATAACAATAATAGTAATAATTGAATGAAGTAAAAAAGACCTTACTATGGACATACATGAATTATTTTTTTTTGTTTAAAACTACCATATTTTCCCTTCATTTTCTCAAAAAATTAGAATTGTTCATTAATTATAATTAATTAATAATTATTAATGATTTTATAAAATTATTGGGTTTTATAAAATTATTATTATTTTATAATTATTTTTTATTTTATAAAATTATTATTATTGGGTTTTATAAAATTATTGGGTTTTAAAGCAAAAATCCCCTATTTGAAAAACTGTAGTAATAATCGAGCGAAGTAAAAACGACCTTAGGATACAAATACATGATTTCTATTTTTTTGTTTTAAATTAACTAATATCCTCTACATTTTCCTAAAAAATTATACTTTTTCATAGATTAATAGTAGGTAATTTTAAAAAATTAATACCTACATTAAATGCAAAAATCCTCTATCTGGAAAACTTCTCGTTGTTACAGGCAATAGAAGAAAATAAGTTAGGACATTCAAATTTGGCATACATTTTTTTATATTTTTTAAAAACAAATGAGGGGGCGGCACGATTAAAATTTTGACATCGGCCAAATAAGAACCACCCTAATATGCATGTCTGACTTTGTAAACACGTTGTTGACTTCTTTGGGTTATGCTCAATATTTGTCAAAGAATTTTGACAGCCGAGAGCGAAAATTACCCGATTTTATTTTAATCCGGGAGGAAAGATAGCGATTGTCATTTTTTAAATAATTTTTTAAGCTGGGAGGCAATGTGGGACGAAATTCAAACTTTCGGTAAATAATAATTAAATTAAAACCGGGACGCACCTGGAAGTATTTTAAAACTACAAAAATTTTATATTTTATTTTTAAAAATAATATTATTTCATATAAATATAAATTTATTAAAAGCTTTTCTTTTATAATAAAACTAGTTTACCATAGGTAAAAGTAATAAAATACGTTGTACAGGGTGATCCCCTATAATGTCGCCCCCCTTTAACTTTTTTATTTTAAGTGTCCCAAAAAATTTAAAAGTGTGGTTATGTAGGAACTAAAAAATACTTTTTTTCTACGTATAAAGAAAAATGGAAAATTGATCAATATACAGGGAAAAACAAAAAGTTTATTTTTTTTCAATGGATCACCCTATATTGGAATTTATTTTTCGATTCCTTGTAAAATTCTGAGCATAATTTATATACAAACCATATACCTAAACTCAACCGTTTCTGAAATATTCGCATTCAAAATGTCATGATTAAATGTTTTTTTAAACTGTTAAAAATCAAGAAGCCTCAGTATACCAAAATTTTTATTGAAAATTAATTACTATAGTGACATTATGTCAATAAGTGTTGTTAAATAAGTAAAAATGGCGTACTCAGACAGAGAAAGACTAACTATTTCAACTTATTATTTTAAAAATAATTTAAATATTTCAGAAACGGTTGAATTTAGGTATATGGTATGATATATGAAATATGCTTAGAATTTTACAAGGAATCGAAAAATAAATTCATATATAGGGTGATCCATTGAAAAAAAAATAAACTTTTTGTTTTTCCCTGTATACTGATCAATTTTCCAATTTTCTTTAGACGTAGAAAAAAAGTATTTTTTAGTTCCTACATAACCACACTTTTAATTTTTTTGGGACACTTAAAATAAAAAAGTTAAAGGGGGGCGACATTATAGGGGATCACCCTGTACATACCTTCCATAGCATCATGATCCATATCGCATCACTTTAGACCATGGTACTAAATAAGTATTATGCAGATCGCAGAACATAAGCTTGAGCAATGCACCCAGCTGACAATCCCCCATCGCCACGTCGCTACGCGTCGCGGGGTGCTTTGCGCAAGCTTATGTTCTGCGATCAGACCCTGCTACAATTGTAGACCCGGCTTTAGACTGATTAGTAAAAAACAAGCCAAAAAAATTGTTATTTCAAAGAATTCTTGAAATAAATAAATATCACTTCGAGAAACCCGCATTCCCCCTAAGCAGGGGGCTTCCTGGTAATGCAGGAGTACATTTTTTTCGATTCATTTAGCTATATAGGATATCCAGTGTAAAATTTAATACAATAATATAATTTTTATTTACATTGTAAATAAAAATTGTATTATGCGACTTATTCTACAAAATTGACTCGTTTACTAGTGTTTACTAGTCTAAATTTGAATTTTTTTCCAGAAGTCTCTATTGTGGGGGCCCCTCTTTTGTGGAGGCCCCGGGGCTGTAGCCCCGGTTGCCCTCTCCTAAATCCGGCCCTGGATGTAAAAAACAGAAAATAAGTGTGACGTGACTTTGGGTCAAGACTTTAAGACAACCTGTGAAATGGGGAGGGAAAGGGGAAACTAAAATCTTCAAAAATGTATGACGTTCTTTATGGACGACCCCTTAACAGATTTTTATACTAAATAACTATTGTGTGGTATTTTGTTATTGCGACATTTTTACGGCATTCCGTATATAAGGTATGTTTTCATAAAAAATTAAAATTCCATAATTGTAGACCAAACATTTGTTTAATTAAATAATAAGTACCTAGTCACAATTTGTAGCTAATCCACTGTTTTATTAGGAATATTAATTATCTCAAATAATATATATTTAATATTATAAACCCTAAAGATTTACAGATTTGTTAAGAATAAAAGTAGTGACGCATTTAATTACATATATAAATATTTACTATACTATAATCCATGCTTATCATTTTAGGTTCAAATTCACCAAATAATATTAAATGCATAGTCAGAAATATACCTATTTACTTCAAAATAAAAAAATATGCAATAAATCTTAATTATAAAATAAAGTTTTTTAATTTGAGAATAAAGTTTGTAAATGATGTGCCGAACAGCGGCGCAGGATAAGGAAGAGGGTAAGCTTTGCGCAAGGCAAAGCGTCGTGGCGCCGCCATCAGCTGTATCTGACGCCCAGTCTCGGCAGGTGCACGGTGCCTGCAACCGGCTGCCCAAATGGCAGTCCTCGCGATACCCTAAACCATATGTAATGTATTCACTTCAACACGGTGTTAACTTATCGCGGCGGGCCTGCAGATTTGTCCTGTTTGTAACGGTTGCAACTCTGTTTGTTGTCTGTGAGTCCAAACCGCCCAACCATGCCTCGGATACTGTTCAACACCCCCCTATCAATCTTGACACCAATTCGCACGACATCAGCAGCCTTTACAAGGGAATCCCGACACCACCGGTACGAACTCAAACCAATGAGGTACCTATGGACGCCAGCACTACGGAATTACCAATATGGACGACCACCAAACCAACCAAAAAACCGGTGGAAAGGTACCCTGTGGCCTCCGTCTCTTTCCACCGGGTAGAGACTCCTTTTATTATAGGATTGTGGATTTTAAGTGCCAGTCTAGCTAAAATAGGTAGGTACATTACTTAACATCACTATCTGCATAAAATAATAACTCTGTTGTAAACAAAAATTATTCCAGGAATTACAAAGTACGATTTAAATAACTACTTAATAATTAAGGATCTAAAATGGCGAAGTTTTTATATTTTAATGTGTTAAAGACATTGAGAAAACATTTTTATAAAATTAATAATAAATATTAATAAATAATGAAAAATTCTTAAAATTTGTTCTTAAAAGTGAAAAAAAGTTCTAAACTTCTTAATTTTTAAAACATTATTTTTAAACTTTGTTTAAATTAATTTTTATAAACATTATTAAACAAACAAAATATTGCAGAAAACCAGACACCCCGTAGCTTTTTTGTGAATTAAATGGTACATTTATTTTTAAATCGTCGCACAGTGGTCTGAGAGGTGTGTTTTGTATGTTTTTAAGGGTGCTCAATTTACTACTGATATAAAATTTTTTCAAAAATATTTGGGATTGAAGGGGCTAAGTCTAGTCAAATGATATAAAATGATTTTTTTATATTTGTGTATTTTTTGTTTTTTTTCATGTGGCTGCTTTTTCACTTGTACCATGGTTAACCATGGAATACCATGGTATACCAACATTTAACAGCCAATTCTTATGAAAAATTGTCCCCTGAATCCACTAATAACTGTTAAATTAGTCATTTTTGACTAATTCATTTTTAGAGAGTAGGCCATTTTTCATTTTTGCATAACTCTCTTATAGGCGCATATAGGCAGATGAATTTTTATAAAGTCGGAGCTGAAGGTTCATATTTTCGAATGCACTATGTGGTTCTGGGCAAGCAATTATAAATTTTTACTTACATTTCATTTATTATTTGTAATTGTAAAAGACTTGAAAATTTGTAGGTTAAAAAACGCTATATTTTTGACAAA